TTATGTGCCAAGCAATGGAGGTTAGGTGGCATTACAATTTCTTTAAGGCAGCCAACATTTTGAAGGGTTGAAAAAATGGCAAAATTTTAGTTTCTAAAAAAAATTATTTTTGCAGACTGGATTCAGAGGAAATTACCAAATCGACGATTAAAATTTTTAAGAAAATAAATTCGTTATCAGATTTTATGGCCTTAGAGAAACTAAACTATTAAAAACGAAAAACCTGCAAACTTTCAAATTTTCAAAATTAAAATTTTGAAGAAACATAAAAGATTCGCCGAAAAACAACTTACATCCATTGATTTTACAAAAAAAAAAAAGTATATTCATAAAATATCCTTGAAGATTTTTCCAAAAAAAAAAATTTTATTTCCAAATACAAAAAGGTTTCACCCGAACACAACTTATGCAGATTGAATTTATTTTAAAAAAATATTATAAAAATATATTTGAAAACATTTCGACTTTTTTTAACACCTCTATGAATTTAAAATTTTGCAGAGACAAAAAAAGATTCGCCGAAAAACAACTTACTTAAAAAAATGATAACTACAAAATTCCTTGAAAACTTTTGCAAAAAAAAAAAAAAAAATAGAAGCACAGTATCCAAATTTCCAGACACACCGGAAAGCAACTTATATCCCCAGAATTAATTTAAAGAATATTTTAAAATTATTTTTTGAAAAATCTTCTTGAAAAGTTCCTATGTTATTTTGCAGATACTAAAAAAGGTTCGCCGAAAAACAACTTACGCCCACTGATTTTACGTAAAAACTAAAAATATTTTCGGGAAAACTTTGGACAATGTTCCAGAAGAAATATTGAATTTTGAAAGACATTCAGAGAGTCCGTGAGAAAAAATATATTAAAAACTTTTAAGGTTTATAATTCCAAAGGTCCATCAGGAAAATAATTTAAAAAATCCACTCTTCATCCATAGGGGCTGCTTCAAGAAATATTCGTAAAACATCCTCGAGGCCTATATGGCGTTCAACATATATTCTCATGAAAATCCATGACTTTTGGTCCAATTGGTCCTTTAAGAATTATTTCCAAAAACTCCACGTTTTCTGGCCAATGTGTCCTTCTAGAAATACTCCTTCAAGTAATGTTCTTAAACCATCCAAGTTTCGTGGTCAATAGGTTCCTACAAGTAATATTCTTAAAAAATCCAAGTTTGGTAGTCAAGAAGTCCTTTAAGAAATATTCTTAAAATATCCAATTTTCGTGATCAACAGGTCCTTCAAGAAATATTCTTAGAAAATCCAATTTTCGTGGTCATTAGATTCTTCAATAAATATTTTTAAACCATGCAAGATTCGTGATCTACTCTTCATAAATCCACCTTTTATGCTCCTATGGTAGTTGGAAAAAATCTTCAAAAATGCACGTTCGTCCTGGAGAAAACCTTCCCAAAGAATCCAAATTTTGTGACCAACTTGTCCTTCAAAATATTCGTAAAAAATTTACGTATGTTCTTTGAGGAAGTAATCTTAGAAATATTCTTAGAAAATCCAAATTTTTTGGCCAATGTGCCCTTCTAGAAATATTCTTAAAAACATCCGCGTTTTGTGGTCATTAGGTTATTAAAGAAATATTCTTAGAAAATCCACATTTTGTGGTCAATATGTTATTAAGGAAATATTCTAAAAATATCAAAGCTCCTTGTCAATTTTTCAAAAATCCGACTATTGTGCTGCATACATTGTTGAAAAAAAAATCTTAAAAAATCCAGGACAATGGACCAAGTCCTAGAAAAAATTTCACATTTTTTGGTCAATTTGTCCTTCAAAAAATATTCGTAAAAACTTTACGTATTATCCTCGTTAGTTTCATTTCAGAAACATTCTTAAAAATCCACGATTTGTAATACCCTTTTGTTCATCTATAGGAAGTTTAGATAAAATCCCAATTTGGAGGTCTATAGATCCTTGAGAAAAATATCCTTAAAATAATCCTATTGGCAGCAAGAGGATGAAAAGGTATTCTTAAGAACTCCATGTTTTGTGGCCGATATATATTGGCCAAACCAAACTATTGTCCTCCAAAAAAAATGATCGTAGAAACTTTATGTATTGTCCTTGTTAGTTCCTTCAAGAAAATTCTAAAAAACACGTTTCGTGATCGTCTTCTGTCCGTCTATAGGGTTTTCAGAAAAAAATCCCCATTTTGAGGTCTATAGATCCTTGAGAAAAATATCCTTAGAAATTAATGTTTTGTAGCCAGCATGACAAGACTTATGACTTGAAATGCATGTTTTGTGACCTAAATATATCCTCGAAAATCATTTGGAAAATGTTTTAAAAATTCAACTTTTAGTGGTTTAAAGGAGCCTCGTGCCTCTTTAGGACAAAGGAAAAACAACATTTTCTGGTCTTAAAAATCTAAGTTTGTGACTTCGAAAGCCTTTCAAAAAAGATTCGCCGAAAAACAACTTATAAATATCTTAAAAAATGTTTTTGTTAAAAATTAAAATTTTTAATGGAGTCCTTCGAAACTACATCCTTAACATTTCAAATCGTCTTAAATATCTTCGAAAAAAATATTATTTAATAATTTACAATTTTTTGTAACAATGTTTCTGAAAACTATTGAATTTTTCCTATCTATAAGTCCTGAAAAAATGTCCATAAAATTCAGCCTGGCAAAAAGATTTCCCCTGAAAAATACCCATAATAAGCCATTACATTCGAATTTTAAAAAATCCTTTTGAAAACCTTTTCCCAATATTTTAACCCGGAAAAATCTTCTCAAAATTCTACATTTGTTTCTATAACACTTTGAGAAACATATTGTCAAAAAGCTCATGTGCTGTGGTCTTTAGGACAAAGGATAAAGGTATTTTTTCTGACCTATAAGTCCTTTTTAAAAAAGATTCGCCGGAAAACAACTTATAAATATATTTGGGATACTCCCTAAAAGATTTAACGGGAAAAAACTTCTAAACCTCTTTAAGGCTCGTAATAAATTCTATTTTTTCTAATCCAGAAGTTATTCAGAAAATATCCTTTAATGTCAACGTTCTTGTCACTGGAAATCCTTCAAAAAAGCTTTACCGAAAAAAATATTTGCGAAATCTTTTTCTATAAGTCTTCTGAAAGCATTGCAAAAAGATTTGTTTCTTCTTTAAAAAAAATATTTTTAAAAAGGGAATTTTTCTGATCTATGAGACCTTTGGAAAAATATCCCTCCAAACGGATGGTCACTTCTCCAAAAGTGTTTAAAAAAAATTTGCCGAAAAAAACTTACAATTTTTTTTTTCTTCTTAAAAAAAAATATTTTTAAAATCAAATTTTGTCCTTCAAAACCGACATTAGTGACTCCAACAATGTTGCAAAAAAGATTCGCCGAAAAAACAACTTATAAAAATCTTTAAAATTTTTCACTGGAAAGCAGGTCATAAGTATCTTAAAGGTCAACATTCTTGACTCTGAAAGTCTTTCCAAAAATATTACCGAAAAACGAGTTTAAATTACTTTGGGACCTTGAAAAAATATTGGTAAGAAATCAAATTTTTTTCTAAAAGTCTTTTAAAAAATTCCCTTTCGTTCGAATTTTCAAAAGTTTTGCAAAAAGATTCGCCGAAAAACAACTTACAAATGCTTCAAATCTTCGTCCTCTATAAAAAAAAAATATTCTAAAAAATCAACATTTTGTTATTTATAAGTCCTTTAGGAAAATATCCTTAAAACCCAACTTTAGAGTCTCCCCAAGTTTTTCAAAAAAGATTCGCCGAAAAAAAAAAACCTTTTAACATGTTTTTGCTCTCTTGAAAAAAATATTCTTAAAATCAAATTTCATCCTTCAAAACCGACGATAATTCAACGAAAGTGTTTCAAAAACAGTCGCCAAAAAACACTTATAAAAAATCTTTAAAATTTTTCACCGGAAAACAACACTTAAGTATCTTTGAGGCTTTCGAAAATATTCGTAATAAATTCCATTTTTCTGGAGTATCACCGAAGAACGTGTTTAAATAACTTTGGGACCTTGAAAAAATATTGGTAAACAATCAATGTTTTTTCTAAAAGGCTTTTAAGAAATGTCCTTTCGTTCGAATGACCGAAAGTTTTGCAAAAAGATTCGCCGAAAAACAACTTATTTCTCCTTTAAAAAATAATCAAAAAATCTAAAGATCTTATAGCCTTTGGAAAAATATTCTTTGAAATAGACGTATGTTCAAAACTGTTTCAAAAAAGATTCGCCGAAAAACAACTTATAAAAATCGTTGGTTCAAGAATTTAAGAAAAGTCCTTTAAGAAAATATTCCCCATAATATCTTCACCGATAGTCCTTCATTCATAATTTCGCACCAACAACAATGCCTGTCTCCAAAAGTGTTTCAAAAAAGAGTCGCCGAAAAACAACTTATTTCTCCTTTAAAAAAAATATTCTTAAAATCCAATTTTTCTGATTTTTAAGTCCTTTGGAAAAATATCCTTGAAAATATACTTCTATTCAAAACTGTTTCAAAAAAGATTCGCCGAAAAACAACTTAGAAAAAATCGTTAATATACTAATTTAAAAAAATTATTTAAAAATATATTCCTTAAAAATTTCATAGCCGATAGTCCTCCATTCATAATTTTTCCCCCAAAGGATTTTTCCAACAATGCTGTGAAAAAAACCAACAACCCATTGAAAAGAAATCTTCATTTTGAAATCCTTGCAGCTACGATTGTAGAAAAATCTATGACCTTGAACTTTTCCCTTAGCACATCTCTGGCCGCAGTAGTAGTAGTAGCAGTAGTACGCATCTGAGTGTGCGACTATGCTGTGTGGTTGAGTGGCCTGTGTGCTTCTCTGTGATTTTCTTTCTCTAAGGATATTTGCTAAAATCCTCTAAAAGCATGGCAGGCACAACAAACAACCCCAAACCAAATGTAGGAAAAAAAGCACAAGCTTTACGTGGGCGCTGGATTTGTTTCTCAGAGATTTAGAATGGCAAATGAGAGAGGAAAAGAGAGAGAGAGAGACACACACTACTTAAGGATACTTACCTTTCTTGTAAATCCTTTTCATCCTCTTCTTGTAGCACAGCCAAACCGGCTGCATTGGATGCTGAGGCGGCCAGGGTGAGAGGGTTATTTGTCGTACAGCTGGCTGGTGGTTGCGTAACTTCGATGGAAATGAGATTTTCCACTAAATTGGTTTCCTCACAGCCACTGTCCATATCCTTGACGACAACATTTTCCGGAAGCTTTTGCTTTTCCTTAGTTTTAGATTTTGGTTTTTTAAAACTATTTGGGCCATTCTCTGGGCCCGAGGAACCCGAGGAGGTGGTGGACGACGCCGACGAACAGGCAGCCGAAGAAGACGACGATGATGAGGATATGGGATATTTTTTCGATGAGGAAAAGCTCCGGCGTATGGATTGTAGGCTATAGCGTATAAAGGACTCGCGTTTCATTTGTGGTGAGGTCTCTATGTCCTCAGTGGTCTTGGATTTCACCACCGGTTTGTGGGGATTATCCACACTAATGGTCAGGGGTCGCTTGCGTGAACTGGTACACGGTTGGGCCTCATATTCCAAAATCAATTTGGGATTTCTCAAAATATGCTGGTACTCCTTCAAATCCTCTGGATCCACCAGTTTATCCTTCTTGGCTGCTGCCTTATTTTTCTTTGACGCCGAGGATTTTTCCATTTTCTCTTTTTTCTTGGGCTTCTCTTTCTCCTTGACCGGTGAAGCCTCCTCCAGCAACAGGGTGTGATAGTTTTCAAACTCCTGCAGCTTTTGTGGTATATTTAAGCTCGTCGGCCGGCGCGAATTGGTTTTGTCAATAAACGAATAGGATTTAATCAAATACAAATTGGATTTATTTTTCTGCAAGCCTGTCTTGGTTTTGACATCGAAAACTTCACTGTCGCTGGCATGGAAGAGTTGGCGCTCATCTAAACTACTCCGCTGTGGTCTTTCGGGAGGAGCTAGGCCCACCAATACCGCATCGGCGGAGCAGGCACCCGGTTCCTCTTCAACATCATGGGGTGTTTTCTTTTTGCGAGCCATTCTATCGGAAAACTTTGAAAGCTTTAAAAATTCATATAATTTGAAATCCTTAATTGTGGAGCTTTGGAGCTTTTTTTCTTCAAAGGGGAGTAGTGGAGTTTTCAGGGTTCTAGTTTCTCAGAAACTGCTAAAAATGTATTTTATGCGATTTTCTTTTATATTGCCTTGAAAGCTTTAGGATCCAAGGTGAAAGCTTTTTTCCCATAAAGTAGAGCTTTTTTCCAAATTTCTCTTTTTCAGTATTTTTATTAATTTTGGACTTCTCCCGGCATTAAAACTTTGAAAAATCGACAGAAGCCTTGTTTTTTCAAAAGCTCTTAAAGGAGACTTGAAAGCTTTTTCCATAAAAAAGAGCTTTCTTCCGAATTTCTCTTTTTCAGTATTTTTACTAATTTTAGACTTCCTTCGGCATTAAAACTTCAAAATCTGATATCAACCATGATTTTTTTCAAAAGCTCTTAGAGGTGACTTGAAAGCTTTTCGTCGAAATTGTTTTTTTTTTTTCAAAATTCAGTTAGGTTAAATTTCCTTTGGAGATATTATTTTTAAAATCCCATTCGAAGTCATAGAATTTTATAAAAGCTCTGTGATCCAAGCCGAAAGCTTTTGCTTCAAAAGTAAGTTTTTATAGCCTTTTATAATATTTCGGCTAAGTTTGTGCCCTTTTTAATAATTCCTTATAATTTTGTTTTTGATCCAACGGCTTGCGGATTTTTTCAAAAGCTTTTCTTAACAAAACTTAAAAGCTTTGCCCTTAAATGATATTTTCTTACAGATTCTGCTTAAATTCGCATACTTTGGGGCATTTGCTTTAAAGAATTACCCAATAGACTTGGTTTTTCGCAAAAGCTTTTTGCTGTAACTTGAAAGCTTTGGGCTTAGTCTGCGTGTGTTCTCCAAAATCTGCTAAATTGTGATTATTTTTGGGCATAAGAAGCCCTCTCGTGCATCTTTTTCTAAAATTCCAGTACCATTTATAGATATTTCCGAAAGCTTTAAGCTCCGACTTGAAAGCTTTTTTTGCAAAATTGATATTTTTAAAATCCAAATGTCATTTATCGCCCTATAATCCAAAATCCTTTGGGTAGACTTATTATTTTGTGGAAAAGCTTTGTGGATCGAACAGAAACTTGATATTTTGTGGTAAAGCTTTGTGGCTCGAAGTGAAAGCTTTCTTGAGATGAGGTTGTTTTTTCCAAATTTGAGAAATTTAGGAGGTTTTTTTATGTTTCCGTTTTCAAAAATCACCAATAATCTTTGATATCTTCAAAAGCTTTAACAATTGGCTTGAAAGCTTTCGCTTAAAAAGTTACTTTTTATTGAAAAAATGTCAGTTTTTGGTCTGCTGTTGATCGATTTCTTGCCATTTAATGATATTTAAGGCTCAAAAGGCTTTAAGCTTTGGTCGTAGCTTTTTTCTAGTAACTCAAGCTTTTTCGGTCATTTGAAAGTAGTGTTGCTATTTTTAAGGATTTGCTGTTGTTTTAGTTTTTTTTTATTTCCAAAATTTGGTTGCTGTTTTGAATAAGCTTTTTAGGTTACAGACTTAAAAGCTTTTTTCATAAAATTATTTTTTTTTTAGTCGTAGCTTTTTTCCAGTAACTCAAGCATTTTTCGGCGATTTGAAAGTAGTGTTGATATTTTTAAGAATTAATTGTTGTTTTACATTTTTTTTTTGTTTATTTCCGGAATTTAGTTGCTCTTTTCGCTCGCTTTTAAGGTTACAGGCTTGAGAGCTTTTTCAAAAAATTATTATTATTTTTTTTTTTCAAAAGCTTCATATATTTTATTTAGCTCTTGTAAGCAGATGTTTACTCAGTATTTGCTTTAGCATAGAAATCGGATTGTGATGATTTGAGGAAAAAGCTTTTTAGACGTTTAGAGCTTTTGTTGAGTAGATGAGTTATATATTTAATTTAATTATTTTTTTATTTCACTAGCACATGAGTATCACTTGCAATTTTCGTTTTGACTTTTGTTGGCTGGAAAGCTTTTTTATGATTTTGATTTTTTTCTTATTGGTATTCTGCTGAGTAAAGCTTTGGTGTGGTCTTATGTTTATTTAACTATTTTTGGTTTTGATTTTATTATTTTTTTTTAATTATTTTTTTCACTTTGTGAATTAGTAATTATCTTTTGGTTTAGGTCTTGTTACACATTAGTAAGCTTTAAGCTTTAATTGGTGGGACTTGAACGGCAATCTAAAGGGGAAAATATATATAAGCTTTTATTTTATTTGGAACATTTTTTATTGCAAAAATGGTTCGATTCGGTTCAAACTTCGCACAACGTAATATTATCATAAAACTTAGATCGAGTTCGAAGATGGGTAATATCGGACCATTCCTTTTGATAGCTTCCTCACAAAGGCCACATTTTTTCACAGAAAATAATTTACCTAATAGCACAAGAAAAGGTCTTCCAATTTTGTGCAAATTTTGCAAATTCTAATATTTTTATCAGGGCTAGGTCAGGTGCAAAAATGAACAATATTGGCCCATTATTTCTGGTACCTCCCCCACAAAGGGATCAAAATTTCAAAAAATCCATGCGCTTATAAAATGTGATAGAGGGGTCCGATTGTCTTCAAATTTCGCATATCTCAATATTTCTAGCAGCTCTAGGTCTGAAATGAAGAACGGACACAATGGGCCACTCCTTTCGGTACCTCCCCCACAAAGAGGTCCAAATTTTGAATAACCAAAATGCCTATAAAATAAGACATAAGAATCCGATTCTCTTTAAATCTCAGACATTCCAATATTTCTAGGAATGCAAGATCTGGTGTAAAGATGGGATATATCGGACCACACCTTTTCATACCTCACCCACAAAGGGGTTAAAATTTGGAATAATCAAAATGCCCATAAAATGCGAAATAAGAATCCGATTCACTTCAAATCTCATACATCCTAATATTTTCAGTAACAGGATATCTGGTGTGAAAATGGGGAAAATCGGATCACCCCTTCTGATAACTCTCCCACAAAGGGGGTCAACATTTTTGAAAAACTGAAATTTCCATAAAATGCAAAATAAGTATCCGATTCTTTCCGAACTTCACACATCCCAATATTTCTACCAACACAAGACCTGCTGCGAATATGGGATATATTGGCCCTCACCTTCTGATACCTCCCTCACAAAGGGGTAGAAATTTTGAATAACCAAAATACTCATAAAATGAAAGATAAGTATCCGATTCTCTTCAAATCTCACAGATCCCAATATTTCCACAAAAACAAGATCTGGTGTGAAAATGATAGATATCAGCCCACCCATTCTGGTACCTCCCCCACAAAAGTGTCAACATTTTGAATATTCAATACGCTCATAAAATACGAAATAAATATCCGATTCTTTTCAAATCTCACACACACTATTATTTTTATTAACACAAGATCTGGTGGAAAGATGGAGAATGTCGACTCACCCCTTCTGATACCTCCCCCACAAAGGGGTCACAATTTTGAATAACCAAAACCCTCATAAAATACGAAATAAGTATCCGATACCTTCTTAACTTCACACATGTCATTATTTCCACCAACACAAGATCTGTTGTGAAAACGGAATATGTCGGACCACCCCTTCTGATAAAAAATCCCTCCAACTCCAGTTTATTAAAAACTCTTGGATTTTGCTTAAACTTTGTTCCAGAGGTACGCATTTTTACACTGAATCCGGGAATATTGAATATTTGGCCCAAGACCCGGGTTAAGCCCGCATATAAAGTACCTCATGTCGTATAGCATGGTAGCATATTGGTAAATTTTGTTGTTCCGTTTGGGAGTTACATCAAAAGGACTTTTGGTATTGAAAATGGGCTCCATGTTCTGGTAAACCCCCCATATAATGGTACCTCCCTTTTTTCGGTATTTTTGTGATTTAACATTATTCACCGGAATTGTATCAAATTTCGTATTTGAAGTTCGTAATGGATACTACAGCCTATCGCAATGGATACTTCAGCCTATGAAAGAAAATTGTCCTTGCAGGTCCACGTCTTCGCATAGCCCCCATAAATATAACGGTACCTCCCGATAGTTGGTATTTTGACGATTTTAGCAACATTATTCACCGGAATCGTTTCAAATTTCGTATTGAAAGATCTTAAGTTTTTCATTTAAGTGGTAGTTTTCGAAATATCCTTCAAAATGGTGGAGGGTATTAAAAGTTCGGCCGTGCCGAACTTAGATGTTTATTACTTGTTTTTTTTTTTTTTTTTTTTGCAATAAAAAATTTTACAAATATTGTTTATTAGATTATTAAATTTTTGTCATTATTTTTTTATCACATTAGTTGTTGTTTTTTTAAGTTTTTATAATTGTTTTTGTTGTCATTACTTTTGTTGTTGTTGTTGTTGTTGTTATTGTTTTTATTTAATTATTTATTATTTTTTGCAATAAAAATGTTTTCTAATATTATTTATTAGTTATTTAGTTATATTTTTTAGTATTTATTTTTTTTATTTTTCAGTTTATATTTGTTAATAGTTCATTTTTTTTATAAAATTTAGAAATATATATTTTTTAAAAATTTTGTAAATTTTCCTATTTTTTATTATTTATTTTTTTTCTTCAAAAAACATTTTTCCAAATATTATTTATTAATTTTTTTTATTATTTTTTAGTTTGTATATTTTTATTTAATTTATTTTATATAATTTAGAAATATATTTTTTAATTTATTCCGGGTCTGATTCCATATTATTTTAAGACAATCTAAGATATTTTGTATAATTTCTGTCGCTGTCATTTGGTTTTTTTATCGCGTTAGTTTTTGCTGTTTTTTTTTTTTGTCATTGAAAATTTTCCAAATAATAATTTTTACTAAATTATTTTATTTTTAAAAATTTTTATTAGGTTTTTATATATAATTATGTGACATATAATTATATTTTTTAATATAAAAAATATATTTTATTTATAATTTTTTGTTCAATTTTTTTATATAACTTAGAAATATATTTTTTATTTATAATATAAAAAACATTTTCAAATATTATTTTTTAGTTATTTAATTTTCATATTTTTATATTTTGTTTAGTATTTTTATATAATTTAAAAATATATTTTGTTGTTGTCTATTTTATTTTTTGCAATAACAATTTTTCCAAATATTTTTTATTAATTATTTAATTTTATTTTTTTTGTTTGTTATTTTTCAGTTTATATTTTTATTTTTGTTCAATTTTTTTATATAATTTACAAATATATCCTTTTTCAAAATTTTGGAATTTCTTCGTATTTTTTCATTTTTTATTTATTTTTTTCAAATAAAATGTTTTCCAAATATTATTTATTAGTTATTTAATTTTATTTTTTTATTATTTTTCAGTTTATATTTTTTATTTTTGTTCAATATTTTATATCATTTAGAAATATATATATATT